AGTAATTATTGATTAATATAATAATTTAATAAATATATAATTAGTGATTATAATTAATAATTACTGTTATTATATATATTGTTAATAACTAGATATTTACTTTAATTTTACTTTAAATTAAAATTATAAATACTATTATTAAAAAATACTGTTAATAAATTTAGTAACCCAGTTTTAATAATATTATTACAATAATTTAATAAATATATAATTAGTAATTATAATTAATAATTACTGTTATTATAAATAATAAGTAAATATTTACTTTAAATTAAAAATATAAATACTGTTAATAAATTTAGTAATTATTGTTATATTAAAAATAATTAAAAATGTTATTAAAAGTATTGTTATTAATTATTTAATAAAATATTATAAATACTGACTATTACTGATAAATACTGTTAATTTAATTTAATTTTGGTAATTATTAACTTAATGAATAGTGTTAATAAATCCTATTCATAAATTTAATAATTACTGTTATAAAAAATAACTAAATAATATCATTTAAACCATCATAAATTTAATGATTTGACCGTTCGAATCGAACGGATGGCTCATTCTAACAACAAAAATTATAAGCAAAAAATTACGGAACTAGCCGCTGGTTTTTGGGTCGACGGTTTGAACAGACGGACCGTTCTGACAACAAAAATTATAGGCAAGAAATTGAGTGTGTGAGGTCCATTAAGTAGTACCATACGTGTTATGTCATTCGAGCGTGTGACTCATATGACTTAGAAACGGAACCGTTATGGCCATCAATTTTTGGGTCGATCATTTGACCGTTCGGTTTGAACGGACGACCCGTTTTTGATAACAAAAAAATACAAGCAAAAAATTACGGAACCGTTATAGCCATCGATTTTTGGGACGAACGACCCATTTTGACAATAAAAATTATAAGCAAAAAATTGAGTGTGTGAGGTCCATTAAGCAGTATCATACGTGTTATGTCATTCGAGTATGTGACTCATACGACCCGAAAATGGAACTGTCTGGCCACCAGTTTTCGAGTCGATGGTTCGAACAGATGGCCTGTTCTGTTCTGACAACAAAAATTAAAAAAAATAAAAAATGACTAAAAACCATTGAACAGGTCAACGGGTTGATGATTTGACCACTTGGGTAAGGGTAGAGCTAGGAATTTTTATTAAGGGGCCAAAACCTAAAAAACATAGATAGGGGGCCAAAAGTTAGGAAACATGAATAAAAGGGGCTAAAATACAAGTAAAACTTAAATAAATATAAAGAGAATTTGAAGGCATAGGGGGGGGGGGGGGAATGGCTCCCTTCCACCACCCCTTGGCTCCACCCCTGCACTCAGGTCAATGGGTCGTTGGCCACAGACTAGGATTGGGGTAAAACAGATCCGGTTTTTTGGATGGTTCCCAATTAAAAAAAAAATAGATGACCCGTTCTAACAACAAAAATTATAGATGACCCGTTCGAATGTTTGGTTCGAATGGATGGCTTGTTTTGACAACAAAAATAGAAAAAATAAAAAATGACCAAAAACCATTGAATAGGTTGACGGTTCGACCGCCTGGGTCAATGGGTCATTGATCGATTCAACAATTTTTGGCCAGGGACTGAGATTAGGATAAAACAGAACTAGTTGCCTGGATGGTTCCCAATTAAAAAAATAAAAAAACAGCCAAGAACCATTGAATGGGTCAACGAGTCGATGGTTCGACCATTCGGGTCAATGGGTCATTGAACGAATCAATGGTTTTTGGCCAGGGACCAGGATTGGGGTAAAACGGAACTAGTTTCCTAGACAGTTCTTGGGCCGAAATGTCCATCCGTCCGGGTTAACAACGGTTCGAAAACCATGGTTTTTATGCTTTTGGATTTTCACTATTGAAAGGTTTCTTTTAATGTTGGCTTTATTCGAGCGGGTGCGATACATTCATTTTTTTTTCATTTTTTGTTTTTGTTTTTTTTTTTTTTTTTCTGTGTTTGGTCTTTTTCTTCAAAATCCTCCAAAACGGTGTAGGGTTTACCACCATTTTATTTCTTCCTTTTTGTTTTTTCTTTGGGTTTTCTTGTGCAATTTTTTTTTTAATTTTCTTACAAGACGATCTGCTTTGTCTCTTTCTTGGATTGTATGTATGTTTAGCTCCATCTAAAAGCGGAACTTTGGACTTGATTTCCTGGGTTTTTTTCCTTGGTTTTTCCAATTTGGTGGATTTACCACCATTTTTTTATGTGTTTAAGGTCACTTTAGATTTATCTTTCAAGGTTTTGGAATTCCTTACAATATCCACCCTTCCCATGACTACGACTACAAAGTTATTTCATCTAATTATTGACACCTAGGAAAAATGACCCAGAAACAAAACTGTTCTAGCCACTGGTTTCCAGGTTGACGGTTCGACTGTCCAGTTCGAATGGATGGCCCGTTTTGACAACAAAACTCAAAAAAAAGGCCAAAAACCATTGAATGGGTCGACGGGTTGAAGGTTAAACTGTTTGGGTCAATGAGTCGTTGGCTAAATCAACGATTTTTGGCCACAGACCAGGTTTGGCATAAAACAGAACCTATTGCTTGGACGGTTCCCAGGCCGAGCGGTCCTATAGTCTGGGACAATTGGGACTTCTTGGTGTGAAACAAAGGACAATTATGAAATAGAATTCAGAACTATCACTGTATGATTGTGTTCTTTTATATAAGATGCTTTGCTGAATCAATATTTAAAAAACAAGCACATGATGATCTCTTTTAAGTCTTTATATGAGTTTCGAGATTTGATTACTTATAATTGCAAGTTTCTTATTAAGAAACCATTGTCTTTTTTAATATAGCAAATATCAATGTTACAATTCCATTCTAGCCCCTCCGAAGCAGGCCCCTCCGCTAGTATCTTATATATATATATATATTAAAAGGATTGGGGTGCTCTCTCCGTGCAAGAAATGGAATCTACTCGTGCGAGTAGATTCCTACATGAGAGCAATCCATTTCCTATTAATTATATAATAGTTATCTAATTATATAAATATATAATAGTTATTATAAATATTGTTAATAACTAGATATCGAACCGTTTAAATGGTTTGATCATTTTTTATTTATTTTTATTTATTTTTTGTCAGAACAGGCCGACCGTTCATTTCGAATAGTTAGACTGTTCAACCCGATAATCGGAGCCCTGACCAGTTTGGTCTCTAGGTCGGTTTTAAAAACCATGATGTTATTTCATTCAAGTGTGTGACTCATACGACCTGAAAATGGAACCGTTCTGGCCATCGGTTTTTGGGTCAATGGTTCGACTGTCCAATTTGAATGGACGACCCTTTCTGACAACAAAAATTAAAAAATAAAAATAAAAAAATGGCCAAAAACCATTGAACGGGTCAACAGGTTAACAATTCGACCACTCGGGTCAATGGGTTGTTGACTGATTCAACGGTTTTTGGCTAGGGACTAGGATTGTGGTAAAACGGAACTAGTTGCTTGGATGGTTCCCAATTAAAAAAATAAAAAAACGGATGACCCGTTTTGACAACAAAAATTACATGCAAAAAATTGAGTGTGAGGTCCATTAAGTAGTACCATACATGTTATGTCATCTGAGCGTGTGACTCATACGACCTGAAAACGGAATCGTTCTGGCCACTGGTTTTTGGGTCGACGGTTCAACTATTTGGTTCGAATGGATGGCCCGTTCTAACAACAAAAATTAGAAAAATAAAAAAATGACCAAAAACCATTGAACGGGTCAATGGTTCGACATCCCGGGTCAATGGGTTGTTGACCGATTCAACGATTTTTGGCCAGGGACTGAGATTAGGATAAAACGGAACCGACTGCCTAGATGATTCCCAATTAAAAAGTTAAAAAACAGTCAAAAACCATTTTATGGGTCAATGGGTCAATGGTTCGATCGCTTGGGTCCTATTTCCTATTAATTATATAAATATTGTTAGATAATTAGATATATATAATTATCTAATTATATATATATAAATATTTATTATAAATATTGTTAATAACTAGATACCGAACCATTCAAACAATTTTGACCATTTTTTATTTTTTATTATTTTTAATTTTTTTGTTAGAATGGGTCGGCTATTCAGACTGTTCGACCCGGTAAACGAGCCCCTAATTGGTAAGGTCTTCGGGTCGGTTTTAAAAACCATGATGTTATGACATTTGAGAATGTGACTCATACGATCCAAAAATGGAACCGTTCTGGCCACTAGTTTTTGGGTTGACGGTTCGATCATCCGGTTCGAACAGACGACCTGTTCTGACAACAAAAATTAAAAAATAAACAAATGGCCAAAAACCATTGAACAAGTCAACGGGTTGACAGTTTGACCACTTGGGTCAATGGGTCGTTGATCGATTCAACGGTTTTTGGCCAGGGATCGGGATTGGGGTAAAATGGAACTGGTTGCTTGGACGGTTCCCAATTAAAAAAATAAAAAAAAACGGACAACTCGTTCTGACAAGAAAAATTACAGGCAAAAAATTGAGTGTGTGAGGTCCATTAAATAATACCATACGTGTTATGTCATTCGAGCGTGTGACTCATACGACCTGAAAACGGAATCATTCTGACCACCGATTTTCGGGTCGATGGTTTGACTGTTTTATTCGAATGGATGACCCGTTCTGACAACAAAAATTAAAAAAATAAAAAAACGACCAAAAACCATTAAACGGGTCAATGGTTCGACCGCCCGAGTTAATGAATCATTGACTGATTCAACGATTTTTTACTAGGGATCAAGATTAGAATAAAACAGAACCGTTGCTTGAATAATTTTCAATTAAAAAAATAAAAAAACAGCCAAAAACCATTACTACTCGAATCAATGCATCATTGAGTGATTTAACAATTTTTTTGGCCAAGAACCGGATCAACTGATCAACGGGTCGACGGTTCCATTCCAGGCGCTGCTTGTCAACGGGCCAATGGGTCGACGGTTCATTGCAGCCCCTGCGAATCCGCTAGTTATAAGTAAAAAACAAGGCAATGAGTCATTCATGATTTTTCACTGTTTGGACTGTGAAAAATCGCCACCAAATTGTAGGTTATCAGTAGTTTAAAGGACTCACCTTCCATCTCAACCTTACTTTACTTTTGCAGTTTGCAGCGATCTGTTCTGTGTTCCTATCTGTATCTGTGTGTGTTTTTTGTAACGAAACCGCTTGGGAGGATTGTTACTACCGTCACAACAAACCCAAATCCATGCCATCGGAGAGCAGCAATAGCAAGCCATGTCCCATAAAAACAGTGGTGGTTTTAGTGCAAGAGAACCGCTCCTTCGATCACATGTTGGGATGGATGAAGTCCCTCAATCCTGAAATAGATGGCGTTACAGGACAAGAATACAACTTGTTGTCCACAACCGATCCCAACTCAACGCGTGTTTACTTCGGTGATCGGTCGGAGTTCGTTGACCCCGACCCTGGTCACTCATTTGATGCAATATACGAGCAAGTGTTCGGCGTCCCATGGGGGCAGTCATCTTCTGGTGATGTTAAGGTTGCGACGATGAATGGGTTTGTTCAGCAGGCAGAGAGCGTACAGAAGGGGCTGTCGGAGGTAGTGATGAATGGGTTCAGACCAGAAGTGGTGCCGGTTTTCAAGGAGTTGGTGATGGAGTTTGCTGTGTGCGACCGGTGGTTTGCGTCGATTCCGACTCTAACACAGCCCAATAGGTTGTTTATTCACTCTGCAACATCGCATGGTATAGTCAACAATGAAACCAAGAAACTGATCCATGGGTTTCCACAGAAGACCATTTTCGATTCGCTTGATGAGGCCGGATTCTCTTTCGGGATATATTACCAGTATCCTCCTTCCACGCTTTTCTACAGGTGAGGGTCAGCTGCCCCTCTCTCTCTTTCTCTCTCTCTCACACACACACAGACACAAGTTTCCAATCATTTTTAGGATTTTGGTTAAACGGGAGTCTTCTTCAAGAATGAAGACGAAGAAACGCGAGTATGTAATAAACTAATAATTATTATAAAGCCTAATTTTTTTTTTTGTTATTGATTGATGTCCAGATTAATAGGCGACCCTCCAAACATGATTACATTAGATTTGGGATTTTAAGAACTGGAATGAGAACAAGTCGAAATCTCAGAGCAGAGACAGAGTATTCACCAGAGACAGGAGAGATAAACAGCCCGTCGGCGTCGAGGGTTATGACTTTTCATGGGGCCGGCGTTAAGAAGGGGTATTGGGTTGGAGTTGGGCATATATATCCCTCTGGATAGTTTAGTGGGCCATGTTCATGTAGGCTAGAGCCAGCTGGGTTGAGATGATTTTATCCTTGTGATTTTTTTTTGTCCTTTTGATTTCAAACATTACAAAAGTCCGAAGATTTTTTTAGACTTAAGATTCCTTCCCCTACCACATACTGGTAGTAAAAGTAGAAGCAAAATCCTAATCTAAATCTAAATCAGAGAATTATGAATTATTGTAACTAGTTGGAGGAGTGGAAGCACAGTTGACAGCTGTAAAGCTGTAATGCAAAGTCATTCATTGATATTTGGGAAAGTGAAAAATCAATTATATTGAGCTGGGCAATGACCAAAAACTCCACGTGTGATGGATGTGCCACCGACAAAGGATCAATATGGGTATCACATGGTCCTTGGTCCTATTAGTTGTTACCTTACCCAGTTACCCAGTGGTCTTTTATTTTTATAACCGATTGGATGAAAGATGAGTGGACCCCGGTCCGGTCATCGTCATTGGTCGTCGCTTCAAGGTTTACATGAATTAATTGATTAATTTAACTAATAAGTAATAACCTCCACAAGGACACTTGTAGTGCGTTTGTTCGGATTGCCTAGGCAGTCGGACCAAATGTAATTTTGCATCCGCTTTTTATATTTTAATTCTCTCTTTGTTTGCTTGTTTGAGTTTGACATGACATCTGCGCACCTTCGGGAGCAATTTATGGTGGAACAAGGCATTCTTGTGCATTTTTTCCTTTGTCGGTAAAATTTGCATCTTAATAAATCAATGCAAAAATTGTACCCAGATAAAGTGGAGACTCCGTAATTTTACTTCCTTCCAAAATGAAATATTGAAGTTACTTTGAAGTAATTTTATCCTTGTAAATAGAATTTACAATTTAGGCAATATATATATATATATGGTGCAGCCTCTTTTGACCGCCGACCACCTACTGAGAGTCCGAGTCTAGAAGATTAGCCACCAAGTCTGAGATTAGTCATTTTCAACAAAGGCAGGTCTACGTAAACCCCTAATTGAATTCAAAAGAAAAATCATAAGATATGACAGCTATCCTCATTATTCCAGCTGCCCAATTAAGAACTAAAGTCCAACAATGTAAATGAAATGCAAAAGATTAATGCATTTGAATCAGTTTCAGGTTGTCCGATTCTTAAAAATGTTGAGTTGGGGTCAAATTTACCTCAAATACCTATTCTAATACCTTTTGTAATTTGTTAATAGTGTTTCAATGGCTTAATTTAAAATGTAATCTCTACAATGCAACTACAACTGTTGAGTATACTTAATGGAAGGTAATTGATTAATAGAGTTGAAGGATTCTTCAATTGTTGGAGCATGCAGGAACCTGAGAAAATTGAAGTATGTGAAGAATTTCCATCAGTATGATCTAGAATTCAAGAGGCATTGCGAGGAGGGGAAGTTGCCAAATTACGTGGTGATTGAACAAAGATATTTTGGAACAAAATTGATTCCGGGCAATGACGATCATCCTTCACACGATATTGCTGAAGGACAAAAGCTTGTGAAGCAGGTATACGAGGCACTGAGAGCCAGTCCTCAGTGGAATGAGATATTGTTCTTGATTACATACGATGAGCATGGTGGTTTCTATGACCATGTCCCAACTCCTACTGGGGTCCCAAGTCCAGATGACATTGTCAGTGATGATTCCTTTAAGTTTCAATTTGACCGCCTTGGTGTTCGGGTGCCCACCATCTTGATTTCTCCATGGATTGAACCAGCAACAGGTAATTAATTAATACAAGTGAATGTGTATAATCAGAATATATTATAATTTGAATTTGCTACAATTAATTATATTGCAGTGCTGCACCGGCCGGCAGGACCATATCCAACGTCCGAGTTCGAGCATTCTTCCATTCCGGCAACAGTGAAGAAGATATTCAATCTCAAAGAGTTTCTAACAAAGCGTGATGCTTGGGCTGGCACTTTTGACGTTGTGTTGAACAGGGAGACCCCAAGAACAGACTGCCCAGGTATGATGAGGTCGTCTCTAGCTAATATTATCTCTCTCCCTCCCTAGAGATGGATTTGGTTACATTGTGTAATTAATGGTGAGTGACGACATTGCAGTTACACTGCCGGAGCCAGTAAAACTGCGAGCAGCTGGCGATGCAAATGAGGAGGCAACGCTAAGTGATTTTCAAGAGCAGTTAGTACAGATGGCAGCGACGCTGAAAGGGGACCATGGAAACGACGATATTTCTTCACACAACCTAATAGAGGGCATGAAGGTTGCAGGGGCTGTCAATTACATTGAAGATGCCTTCAAGAAATTCCTGGATGGATGTGAGGATGCCAAGAAGAAGGGCTCCGATGAGTCCGAGATTGTTGTATTGACCACCACCACTCCAACTACAGAAGAAGAACCCCCACCTTCTAAGTCTAAGTCCTTCATTCACAAAATGTGTGCTTGTTTGGCCTGTAAATAGCTCTAAAATATAGTTCAACAATGTTTGCTTTTTGTATGAAAAATATGTATTTCTGCAGATTGAAACTGCTTTTGTCAGTTTGTGTGGAGGGAGAGAGAGAGAGATTTATTTGTCAAATTGATAGTTTTTGTCATATAAAGTTTAATTTGAGTGCACAAAAGTTACAATTTACTACTTGACTTGAAAAGAAATTAATAATTCCAAAATTCAACCAACTTGCTTCGATCGGATCTGATAAAGCTACAGACAAAAGAAGAAAAAAAAATCTGCTACAACAAGAACAAGATGGGCAAGACGGGCTATGAAGCCCAATTAGAAAAGAGTGATGACATGGAGTATCCCAGACACCTGGGGGCCCAACACATCCTCATCGTTGGTGATGGAATACTCATGGAGGCCCTTACGGATTTAGTGATAGTAACATAGCCCGTTCAAACAATAAAAAATTATGAAATTGTTCTGGCCACCGATTTTCGGGTCAACGGTTTGACTATTCGATTCGAATGGATGGCCCGTTTTGACAACAAAAATTATAGAGAAAAAATTGAGTATGTGAGGACCATTAAGTAGTATCATATGTGTTATGTCATTTGAGTGTGTGACTCATACAACCTGAAAACGGAATCATTTTGGGCCACTGGTTTTTGGGTCGACGGTTCGACTATCCGGTTTGAAAGGACGGACAATCCATTCTGACAAAAAAAATTCAAAAAATAGAAAATGGCCAAAAACCATTGAACGGGTTGACGGTTCGACTGCTTGGGTCAATGTGTCATTGATTGATTCAACAATTTTTGGCCAAGGATCAGGATTGGGGTAAAATGGAACTGGTTGCTTGGACGGTTCCCAATTAAAAAAATAAAAAAGTGGCGGTTCGACGGATGGCCCATTCTGACAACAAAAATTATAGGCAAAAAATTGAGTGTGTGAAGTCCATTAAGCAATATCATACGTGTTATGTCATTCGAACATGTGAGTCAGACGACCCAAAAACGGAACTGTTATGGCCACTGGTTTTCGGGTTGATGGTTCAACCATCTAGTTTGAACGGATGGCCCGTTTTGACAACAAAAATTAAAAAATAAAAAAGTGGCTAGAAACCATTGAACGGGTTAATGGATCGACGGTTCGATCGCTTAGGTCAATGGGTCATTGACTGATTCAATGGTTTTTGGCCAGGGACTGGGATTGGGATAAAATGGAACCGGTTGCCTGGACGGTTCCCAATTAAGAAAATAAGAAATGGTAAAAAACCATTGAACGGGTTAACGGGTCGACAATTCGACCGCCCAAGTCAATGGGTCATTGATCAATTCAACGGTTTTTTGCGAGGGACTTGGATGGTTCCCAGGCCGAAATGTTTGTCCGTCTGTCAACGACGGTTCGAAAACCATGGTCTTTTGTGCTTTTGGATTGTCACTATTCAAAGGTTTTCTCTATTGTTGGTTTTATTCGAGCATGTGCAGTATGTTCATTTTTTGCTTTTGTTTTGTTTTGTTTTGTTTTGTTTTGTTTTTGTGTTTGGTCTTCTTCTTCAAGATCCTCCAAAACAGTTTAGGGTTTGCCACCATTTTATTTCTTCCCTTTTGTTTTTTCTTTGGGTTTTCTTGTGCAATGCTTTTTTTTTTTAATTTTCTTACAAGATGATTTGCTTTGTCTCTTTCTTTGATTATATGTATGTTTATCTTTATTTCAAAGCGGAACTTTGAACTCAAATTTCTGATTTTTTCTTTGGGTTTTCTAGTTTGGTGGATTTATCGCCATTTTTTTTCTGTGTTTAAGGTCACTTTGGATTTATCTTTTAAGGTTTTGGAATCCCTTGCAATGTCCACCATTCCCATGACTATGACTACAAAGTTATTTTGTCTAATTATTGACATCTAGAAAAAATGACCCAGAAATGGAACCGTTCTAGCCACCGGTTTCTAGGTTGACGGTTCAACCATCCGGTTTGAACGGATAGCCTGTTCTGACAATAAAAATTAAAAAATAAAAAATGGCCAAAAACCGTTGAACGGGTCGATCGCCCAGGTTAACGGGTCGTTGATTGATTCAACGATTTTTTGCCAGGGACCGGGTGTGGGGTAAAACAGAACCGGTTGCCTGGACAGTTTTTAGGCCGAACAATCCTACTGTCCAGGTTAACTGGGAGTTCTCGATGTGAAACAAAAGATAACTATGAAGTAGAACTCAAAACTATCACTGTATGGTCGTATTAATTCTTTTGTATGAGATGCTTTACTGAAACCTGGGTACTTATTTAAAAAAATAAGTTTTTTTATATGAGTTTCAAAACAATATTTAAAAAACGAAACATGATAATCTCTTTTAGGTCTTTATATGAATTTCAAGACTTGGGTACTTATAATTGAAAGTTTTTTATTAAAAAACCATTGTCCTTTTATCTGCTAGTTTATTTAATTAAAATAATTGACAATTATGTTTAATATTAGGGGTGAACACAAATCAAGCTTTTCACAAGTTATTCGAATTCAACTCAGTTCGGCCTAATTCGAGCTTTGAATCGAATTTGAGCTCCATATATAGTTCGTCTGTTAATCAAGTCAAACTCGAATACTACATAGCATGACTCGTTAAGCTTGCAAGCCTCTATATGTATATAATATTCATATATATTATGCCTTTTAAACAAATGTTATTGGAGGGGACACAGTTTAATGATAGTCCCATCACATTCTATTATTTGGAATTCGAGAGATAGAGAGTAAAGAGTCTGAAAACTAAAGAGGGAAAATAAACGAACAAATAAAAAAAACCCTTCGTCTTCCTCTTCGTTCTTTGATCAAACCCTTCCATTTTCAAAGAAACTTTCACTCTCCCAGTCTTAGAGATCCGGTCAGTCTCAAGCTCTTTCACAATTGATGCCTGACGAGGCGACGCTCGACGATCTCAGACTTTCAGCAATCAACAATCAGCTCTCTACAAGCCTGCAACTTCTTCTAATATTCTTGATTTGAAGTTCTTATTTGACCTTTCTACAGTTATTCATATTTGGTGATTGACCAGTAACCACAACACAAGGACCATCGTCCAATATTCAAAGGTAACACAACACCCAAAAAACCTTTTAAAGAAATGCAATGAGACGATTTGTTTGGTTTGGTGGTGTGTTGTAATTTGTAAGTCGCAAAATGTAATAAACTCGGTTCATTATCAAATTCGAACACATAAATTCTATAATCCAGCAGAACTCGAGATTCCATTTCTAATTGGAATCGAGCTCGATCGAACCGAACTCGAATACTCAAATATTCGTCTCGCCGCGGTTCCCCTAAATTGTTCATCCAAGAATTAATTAATTATTTGTAATTTTTATTTTGAATAAATAAATTAGGAGAGTGACCAGTGGTCTTTTCAAGTCTTGTTAACTGATGTACCTTAAACTCACAGAACAATCAGTATAGGCCCGATACTTGCCTAATTAAGGGTACCTTTGGTTTGTGGACAGGATCGAATTGGAATATTGAAATTCAAATCTTTTAGAATTGGAATTAGAATTGGAATCTCTTATTCTTGACGTCTATTTGGTTCAATCAAGAATTGAAATTAGATTTCGATTATTGGTGTTTTGTTTGTTTAGTTGGGAGTTGAAGTAGAAATTAATTAAAAATTTTTAATTTTGTTAATATTTTATGAATATATAATTATTATTTTTTTTGTACTTTGTTATTATTATTTTCTTAGTATTTAATAATCAATATTTTAGTATTTATCATTAATTTATGAATATTTTATTAATATATTATTATTTTATTATTACATTAATAATATTTTTATTACTATATTTTATTAATAATTTATTGTTTTGTTATTATTTTGTTGTTAGTTTATTATTTTAAAATTAATATATTATTATTGAATAATTAATATGTTAGTATTTGATTATTACTTTAATTAGACTATATTAACATTTTATTTCTACTTAATTGTTATTATTATTTAATAAATAATAACTTTTCTTTTTATTGTTTTGCTATTATTATTTTAATGGGAAAATTCCTTATCAGTATCTTATATTTTGGCTTGAGTGACAATTTGGTCCCCAAACTTTAAAGTGCGACAACCCAATACCTGAACTTTCGAAACACGACAATCTAGTACCTACTGTTGATAAACCATCAGTTATGTATATCAAGTGACCTCATGTGCGATTTAAGACTTTTGAAAATGACAAAATTACCCTTGAAAATAAAACACACTGTTCATCATCTTTTTCCTCAAGAAGATGAAACAGAGCCCAAGTTCTCTATCACAAACACCAAAACCCTTCTTGCATAAAATGATTGATAGTCCTCCAAACTCCTCCGCCATTTTAGTCTCCTGAAGCAATTGATTTCTTGTCCTCCTCTCGACGCACCTACCTTGGTTGTCAACCCTTCTCTTTGCCAAGGCCAATCCATCTCTCATAGCTTCCTGAAAAATAATACTTGTTTTCCTATTATATGTTTTTTCTCAATCCTAATATTAATGCTATAATAAAATGCTCGACATAGTAAAATGCCTCATCTGTTTATTGGGCCCTAGTGTCTACAACTCCAAGTCAACGGCCGAGTAGGTCATCAGAGCCTGTTTCAATCTCGGCTCCATCACTTCTATTATCACAGTTCACAGGTGACCCCACTTCCACAGATGAGTGAACGAAATAAAAAGTGAATGAATGAGAAGACATGAGATGAAACCAACTTGATAAGATGATGAAGCAGAACTGACTTGGTTTTTGAACTCCCAAAACACCCACTCTCCCGCCATTAATCCTCCTCTAAACAACTCCCATCAAGCCCTCATCTTCACCCTTGTCCCATACTCCCAACAAGTCCACACCATCACTGTTTGAACCCCATCAAAAGAGAAGAAAACAATCACTGCTGATGTTTAAAACTTTAGTTATGTGCAATGTTCAATTGGACAAAATTATGGCCTTTTGGATGTTTGTAATTGCATTTAAAAATTCAAGTTGGGATTGATTCATCGATTTTTTTGGTTAGACTGATTGAATCAATGGTTCTGGTTGATTTTTAACATATTCTGGTTTTGCAGTATGTTCAAACTGGTCAATGCCCAGGTCTTGGTTAACATATTCTCTCTCATGTTTCGGCTACTTGGATCCAACATTGTAAATCTGCCGCCAACAATGATGTCAACGGAGACGGAGA